GTTAGTTTGATTTTGTCATCAACAATTCTTTCTTAATAAAAATCTATTAACAAAATTATATTTCACTGCATGCAGGTTCAACTTCTAAAATGAGCACCACCTCTCTTTTCTTGAGATTATATTACTGAAACATAATAATGCACTCTCTTTTCTTGAGATTATATTACTGGAACAAAATAATGCAATCTTAATTACTGATTTCCACACTCATGTGTATGTCATGGGGGGATGAATACATCTTATTAACTATAACAAATATTTTATATTGAATATGTATCAAACGGTAACAAACTTCAACTCAGTATTTATTATTAGGATCAAAACGATATTACAGTTAAAAATTCTCTCACTCTCCTTTTTTTTTTTAAATACTATTTAAAATATGGTTAAGTTTTTTACATCACATTTTTTCAATTACATTAAATTTCTAACAGCATCGTAGATGAGACAGAATTATAATCCAGATTATTTTTATTTTAATTGATTTTATAGAAAATAATGATACAGCATTGAGCTCTATAAAAGTAATCTGATTTTTAAAATAATGCTGTTTAACTGTTTATGTTCAATGTTGCATGAATCAAGATCTTCAGGTTTTTTTTTTTTTTTTTTTTTTTTTTTAACAAAGTAAACATATCGCACAATCTTTTCTCAATAATTTAATGCTAATAACAGCATTTTTCTTTTTTTTATCGCAAGCAGTAATTGTTTATGAAATCAAAACGCGTACGACTTGGCGAAAAAAAGTTAACGCCAATTGGCGCAGCTTTCTATTTCAACGGAATACACGGAAAAAACATATAAAATTCAATTATTTGTAAAGGATGAATCCAGTAAATAGTGTCACAGTATTTAATACATTTTGATGCTAATAATACATGCTGAAAATGTCATATACAGCGGCAATTTTCTTGTACAATATGGCTGAAAATTTCCAACCAATTCAACAGAGATAGTAAAACGAAAGAAATACTGAAAATAAAATAATAAATCATGCAGTTTTAACTTACAGGTCTTAAAGGTTACAGGTCTTCCTTTCACGAAACTTTCTTTACATCCATAGGCGCTGCAGCGAATAACCATTTTTACTTAAATTTTATGTGACCAAGCAGAGCAGCAGTCTTTCGTCCCATAGAAAGCAATGTAAAGTATTTCCGGACTTTCGGAATTCGCGCAGCAGTCACGTGACACTAATGTTGGAACCGGTTGAAGGTTGCAATAAGCTCTCTACCAGTATATTATCTCGTTGGTCCAGACCGGACACACTGTGCCGCAAAGGGTTAACCTTAGTGCGAAAGTGACCCTTCATCCTGTGCTTTGAGAACTGAATCCATTGTTTTATCATTAAATATTTGATTTGACATTTAATGTGTAATGGCATGCCATTAATGTTAAGTTTACCTTTCAATATTAAGTTTAATTTTTCATCTCCAAATGAGGACATAAAAAACAAACCATTGCCTGAAAAGCGTCTTGGTTGAGTATGAGATATTTGCAAATTTTAGTTAATACCGTGATTCGATTAGATTAAAGATTTATTGAATTAATTATTTTTTTTAATGGGCATATTTTAAATTGCATCGTATATTTATTTTTGGGTTTTCTTTGGAAGATAAGTTCCTGCTTTACTCGTAGACGCTTATACATTTCTTTAGAAATTAATTGTCGAAGATAAATTTTGAGGTTTTTCTCGTCCTTTTCATTGAGTACTTATAATAATGCAACAAAACTCTTTTATAACTCTAGCCCTGGTAAGAAATATTAAGTTTTTCACCGAACTTCCACTGAACAATTTTCATGACCTGTTTGCTGCTTATGCGAACTTTCCCCTTAAAATTAAGATTAAAGATACGTCCGTGCTCTTTATACTGTTTAAAACTGAAATCATTGCTTTTGATAAGCCTTTTCTGCATACTGTAGCGTTTAAACAGTTTGGTTCTTGGCCTTGATTTTAAGTGCACTATTTACTGAACCTTCTTTAAGCCAGTTGCCATTTTATAAAAGTTTCTCATACTGAAATGAAACTGCTATTTGCTTGAAAGAAATGAATCAGTCTTACCATACCAACCTGAAAACGTTGCATAATTATCTTTATATTAATACAAAACTTCTAGTAGTTGTTTCATTCTAATCTAGGGCACCGTTTCCATAAAGCACAAGACACTTGGTAGATCATTCCATGTTTATTTCGATTCATTCAGCTACTATATGGAAGATAAATCTTGTTTTTCCTCATATTAATATAAAACAGCCTCTTCAAAATCCTTTAGGAAGTCATTGCTTTTAAAGCAGTTAGACTTCGCTTGCTTTGTAATAATTTAGTTGGTTAAGGAAAGACCACAAAGCTATTTGCATATAGGAAGCAATGCCTTTACAAAGAATTTCAAAAAGGAATTGTTTAGTATTAATTTATACGACAGAAAAATGACCATGCATCCAGGCCGCGCGTCAGAATTTGAGTCCAGATTGAAAACAGTGCCCGGTAACTATGGTCAGTGGTCAATCAACTTTGCAAAAATTAAACTAACCCAAATTATTAATATTCCCATATTAAGGCTTTCTAGTTTATGTGAGTATCAGTATTTCCCGTTTAGTAATAATTAATGCTTACTTTAATGATTTTAGGAGGAATTAATTATCACACTCCCATCACAAAAGAACAGTTAAAGCTGTTTAGTTAGCTATTTTAAGCCGAGGTTATTCTATTGGATGGATAACAGCAAAATTTAGTCCTACGTATTTCAGATTGGTGTGGACTAAGTTTTGAAGAAATTCTACATTTACACAGAAAATCGATTTAGTATCTTCAAATTAAGTATGAATCTAATCTAAATTTTAAAGCAATACATTTTTAATTTTAATTCATTCACATCGTTCAGAGATCATATCATAAACTTTTTATTAACTGTGAATGGGAGAAAATGTAAAACATTTTAATGAATCTTTACCGATAAAATATAAAATGATATGTATCACATATCGACTGATGTAAAATGAAAATCAGTGATGTAAAATGAAAATCAAATCTCCTGATTGATCACAAGTTCCCTCTGTCTGTCTGTTGTTGGCTTGCTTTATCGTTGAACCCCTGTTCGAATTCCGGAGAAAGTCTTATTTGGAAGTGTATAGTTTCCCTGCGGTATGAAGGCACTTAAAAAGCACGGAAAAATGAAGGCCCTCTCTAGTAGTTTGGTGGTAGAAAGAGAGGGGTGGTAGACCCTTGGATGCGTACCCGGGAAATTCTTTTCCAAAATTGGGAGGGGACTGAGGAAAGTCGCACTGCCGGTTAGCATATTTCATAAGTGCACATCTGTATAGCCACCGAGGGAGTGGCTTCTAGAATAGACCGATGGGTTTCCATTAATATTTCTGTCATTTCACATGATCTTTGCCGCGCTTTAAGCAAGATAGTTGAAAATCTTTTACCACGCAATTTCCTGTACAAATAATTAAAGCATCATGGATTTCTTGTGGAAATTTTCAGTGCGAAGTTATATGAAACGTAAGCATAATTATATATGTAAATAGAAAAAGTATTAGCTTTTTTATTTCCGTGTATATGAAAAAGATGCTCTATAATAATAGCCAATGCACAGTTTTATTCAAAAGGAACTTTCCTAATTTGCATTCCTATACATTTAGTGTGTTAAATTTCACATTAACAACTGTTCACTTTAAATGCAAGAAATACACTTTGAATTGAATGAATTTATCTTATCCACTACAAGTATATTTAATTTATCCATATATAACTTTTAGTATGAACAATATGTATAACAATACACATTCACAACATACATATTGTATAATATACTTTCAAAATCAGAGGAACGCAAGCATTGAGATAAAATACTAGATTCATTGTAACACTTCCAGTTATTATCAGCTCAATAAAAAAAAATATACACTTGAATTCTCTTAATCAACATTCGTTAGTTAAATACATAATATTCGAGGCTAATTGTAGCTTGAATCATTTTCTCGATATAAAGAGCGATAATATGCCACGAACATTAATCCTAATGTCAGTGCACGATAAGTTTCGCGAAAGTGAAATATTGACGATTAAATAAACTTATAAAATGAAAGAACTATGAGATTTCCAACTGAAATGATAGCAGCATTTATACGCCATACATGTATAATTGCGAAAAGGCAAAAGCAAAATAAAACGTAAGCGACAACATGTGCTCATACGCGCAGTTATAAAGATTTAGCGTCACAAGAGCAATAGAAGCTCATTGGTCCATTTTTGAAACCCCTCCATCAGTGGCGCTATTGATGTGCACTTGTGAATTATGCTGCCGGTTATACAGTGCCTAAGATCCATGCCAGCGATAGATGCAATCCTGCCTTCCTAGCCATGATCAAATTCGTGGTTTGTTTCCGAAAGTTACTCGCAGAGAGATGATATAACTCACAAAAACAACATTCATGCATCCCAAATGCAAAGAAAGACATAATGCGTTAGTAATCCAAACGAGCATATTTCTGTACACTGAAAATTTAACAAGTATACGACTTGCCATATATTTGCACACCAAAGTATAATGTTCTTAGCAACTAGATTAGTGCTGAAGTTTGGAGGGTTGGCTTAGAAGCTCAAAATGATTTATAAATTATTAGATCACAAATAATATATGCTAAGTAGGTAAAACTATTTTACTTAGTAGTTATTTATGTTAAAGGAAATTTCTCAATCGGCTTAGCCTAGAGGTTTAATTCGGAATCTGCCTACAGGTTTCCTGCTACAGGATGTGCCAGGCAAATGCCATTGCCTTTCATTTCATCATTAAGATCGTTATCATTCGTCTTCTTAGGTAATTTTGTCTGAGTCTTGGCTAGATAACCCTGTCTCTTGATTTTACACAGATCAGTTTATATTTATAAATATATGAAAATTTACTAGTAATATTTAGCTCAAAAGCTTTACTGTAACACATGCAGAGATTTTACCATATTGCATGCTTCTTTAATTATTCCTCTTATTACGTTTCTAGCTGTAGATAGTGTTCGAGCTGATGGCTGCGGAAAGATCCTTCTAGACAAATTGGAAAGAAGTTGTCTCGATAAATTCGAAAGATTGGTTACGCAAAGTCAAAGCATTGTAGATGATGCACAGAAGACGACAAAAATATGCTGGTACGTTCTGTTCACTTATTTACTTGAAATTTTATGCAATATTATAGAACCAGTCATGTGCCTATTCGCTATAAGTAGATAAAAACTCGTTTCGGGATAGTTCAGTAATAACTATTTCTGTAACAGTCTCATTTTTAGATGTAACATCGAAGTCCTGTCAGTTAAGCAATTTAATAACAAGTTTTCTGGTAGGTCACGAAACCTCATTCTTGAGTTCATCAAAGCCTTTATAAGACTTTCCGATGCAGCCGCTGTTAGAAACATGCCGTTGATTTGGCTGTAAATACATGAAAATTCTGTTTCAGGAATCACCTATGTTCTCGAAAAGCGAATTTCTTAAATCCATTGTAATTTCTTAAAATCAAACGAAATGTTTAATACAGTTGGTGAATCTAAAATTCGAATCAGTTACAAAGCCTTGATACTCATGGAAGACAGCAGATTTTTTTGATGCCATATTAATCTCCCAGAATTCGAAGTAAACCCTGTAACAGTATGCATCAAAATACTATGTACTAGGAGAAGGGTCTGCTATGCCCCTTTATGCTGAAGAAATCCACTGATATTATGGTTTCGAAACTCTTGTATGCTGCATAGTATACTCTGAGCAGCTGGGTTGCAAAGAACCCAAAATTAAACAGATATTGAGGCATCGAGGCAGCAGGACTCATAATCCCAATTCATGAATATAGTAGTACACATATTAGCATCGTAGTTTCAGGGCGAATATAATAATATCATTCCTTTTTATGCAGAGTTCCTAAAAGCAGTTGCACATCACTTAATCTTGACGTTTTTGCTTAATTTTGAGACGTTGTTATTACTTTTAATAACTTTGACACTTCTAGTACGATTTTCGACACTTTCATCTATTATACTCGAGCTGCTAACTCTTGAATCTTAAAGAATTCAAGCTTTTAACATCTCAAGTGCCTTGAGTTTTCATTAAATATGAACCTCACGCCTCATGTGCTGGCATATTATGAAAAACCAAGAATTGTCTTCCAGTTACAATGAGCATTTTTAAAAATCTAATTAGAAAAATGTAGGTCTATTGATTTGGTGATGTTTAAGTGGAAAGCAAGCAAATATTTTTAGAAATGACTATAAAAATGAGCATTTAGATTCTGAGCCTAATTCTTGGCGTATTGGTCGTGAGGCTTTAAAATGTGCAAGTTACGTCTCTCTAGATGTCAGTATAGGTGTAGGAAGAACTGTCCATTTTGTACATAACGTAAATTACTGAAATATCTACGATACGTTTGCGCAGTTCCGTTGGTTAAACTTTTCATTAGCTTCTAGAAATCATTTTCCAATCCAAGTACCTTATTCCTATGCTGTGCGTTAACGAAAAAGAATCGTATCTTGCGTATGTTCAAGGAACAGTGGTTGCCGCAACTTCGCTCAATAAGAGTGTGCAATGATCTGTTGTGTTTCAAAATATGAAAAATGTCTTTAAAATGATTCTAAAAAAGATCCAAGAGGATAAACATTTGAGAAAATCTAATAATATTAAACGATTTATATTGAGGTACTCATCTGTTCACAGTACTGCATCAGTAGTTTGATGCAACCACTCGGCTCATAGAGGTAATTGAACATCGGTGGTGTGAATAATGATTACAGTTTGACTAAGGTATAGAATCTCTATAGACAGACTGGCTATACGGGTGTTTTTACTTTTTCCATATATATAATATTAATAAAGCCAGTTTTAATTGATATGTCACCTATGGAGACATCATTCCCTTAAGCATAAAGCTCGTGTGCTTTGCTACATTCAAATAAATTTTGGTGCGAGACGATAATAAAACAAATTCCTTGGATTATCATTTGAATATCTTCTCCTCAGATATTTAACACCGTATTATTATGCAACTGAAAAATTCATTTGCGTGAATATTAATTTGTATATAATATTCCGCTTGTATTACCGAACATCAACAGTAAAGAATGTTTAATACTTTCATTTTATTGAAAATGAAACAATTTAAATAGGAAAAAAAAAACATTTTTTCCAAAAATTCGTAGTTTTAAATCTCTGTTTCTCCTGAACTTGACTTCCTTCCTTTGAGAAAAGATCAGTAAAGTAAACCAAGATTCATCAGATAGCGGTAAAGACTATCTCATCTTCAGAAAGGATCTAAATCAGTCTTGTGAAACCGCCCATAATCTTCTACATTCCCACTGGATTGTCCCTGACTATAAATACTATCATATTCTCAAACTTCTAAACTTAAAGCTAAAAAAACAGTCATGTTGTATATACTTGCATCAAAGATTTTGCATGATTTTATTATAAATTCTTAGGGTTTCAGTTTAAAGTGCAGAATCCGTATGCTTGTGTAATAATTATCATTGTACTATTATTGCTTGTTTGCGAATTTGCTGAAGTTTCTTTTTATTTTTCAGTGCTATAGCTGATTATGAGAAATGCAGTCTTAGAGCTTACAACAAGGCAAATTGTGGTGCTGATAAGGAAGAAGTTCAGAATCACATCAATGCTGTCACGACATTCATGACTTTCTTTGTCAGCCGCCGCAGTTGTACAGAATTCCGTGGACAGTGCGCAATGGTTTCTTCCTCTCGAGCGATTATAGTCTCGTGGATGGTTCTGTTGCCTTTAGGGTTAATGCTTATATATTAGACATTCCGACAATTTTCAACTTTGAAAATGTAACATTTATATACCGTTAAGGACTTTAAGCAAATATTATAGTTTAATTATAGTTTTCCGATCAAATGGTTTTCTGATGCAGCTCATTAATTATTGAAATTATTATTACTGAAATTTGAAATTTTGGAGAAATGATTTTATGAATGACGATGTGAAAAGATTAAAAATTTTAAATTAAGTCCGAAATTTTCAATGAGATTGATGAACAGCTATCTGATAATGTGAAATTTCTTAGTATTAATATTCACTTTACTTAAATTATTTGAGACACTGGTGTATTAATGTATGCCCAGGGTCTCAGACGACATAATCGTACAATTTTTGAAGGTCTTATATAAAAATATATGCATATATATATATATATATATGTGTGTGTGTGTGTCACGTTTATATATAAGATTAATACCGCCTCAAGCAGGGGCGTAGCTAGAACTTCCAGCGCCCGGGGACAACTGAAGAATTTGCGCCCTTTTCTGTGTGCCAAGAATGGAAAAAATTTCATTAAAAAAATTCGTAGCATCAGTTTGGCGCCCCTTAGATGCTCCGCCCGGGAACAGATGTCCCCATCTTTCCCCACCCTAGCTACGCCGCTGGCCTCAAGTCTCAATGGATTTGTCAGGCGAAACATGTTTGCATGATTTAGTTAATCAACTTGGTTGGAGGCTTCAAGCACTTTCAAACTTGGTTGGACGCAAATTTTTATGTGCACGTTTTTCAAATTTTTCTGTAGTTTGGAAAGCTTTTTTTAAAATAATTTATAATTTACTTTGTAACTCATATTACGAAGTGTTTCTGGAATTTTGACAGGAAACTGCATGTATTTTTAACGACTTTTCTAGTTTTCAAACTTCCTTTCTTATTTAAATACCATACATATATATACGAGGTGTGATTCAAGAAAAAGTTTACAAGGCAAATGAAAAAGTATTTATTAACAATAGAAACAAGATACAAATGGGAATCAAGAGACACATCTGGCCTTCACTTTTCCACATAGTCGCCAAACCTGTTTAGGCATTTGTCAGAACCTTCGACCAACTTGTTTATCCCGTCTTGGTAGTAATCAGGGCCCTGCTCATTGAGCCATTTCTCGGCAGCTGTTTTCACTGCATCGTCTGAGGTGAACCGTGTTCCGGATAAGTATCGCTTCAACGCCGGAAAAATGAAATAGTCACTTGGAGCCAAATCGGGGCTGTATGGGTTGTGATTCTAGACCTCCCACTTGAACCTTTGCAGCAATTCCTGAGTCTGGCGAGCTGTATGGGGCCTGGCATTGTCATGCAGATGACGCCTTTGCTCAGTAATCCAGGCCGTTTGCGTCGGATGGCTTTACGCAATTTCGTTAAGGTGGCACAATAACGATCGGCCTTAATGGTATGGCAACGCTCCAAATACTCGATTAGGATAACACCAGTCGTATACCAGAAAACGTTTTCCATCACTTTACCGGCAGAGGGTGTGACCTTAAACTTCTTCCTCGTCGGTGATCCAGCGTGTTTCCATTCCATCGTGGCTCTTTTGGATGTGGGGTGAAGTGATGAAGCCGTGTTTCATCACCGGTAACGATGCGATCAAGGAAGTGTTGGCCGTCTGAATGGTATCGCTGCAGAAATGTGAGGCTGCACATCATTCGAGTGGCCTTATGCTCCGCGGACAACGCACGTGGAACCCAGCGGGCACAAACTTTGGGAATATCGCAACTCAACGGTTACGATACGCTGAACGTTACCATAACTCAGGTCCAACTCTGAGGCAATCTCACGCACGGTTACTCGTCGATCCCTTTGGATGATTTCTTCAACACGTGCCATGTTGATATCCGTCCTTGAAGAACTTGGACGGCCGCTCGCTTCCATATTGCGGTTTTCCACATGCTCCCTGCCCGCTTGATAAGAACGACACCATTTCGCTACCTGTTTATCTACTCATTGCTTTGTCCCCGTATACCTCAACGATTTGTCTGTGAATTTCGGATGTGGCCACATTCTTGGCCCATAAGAATCGAATTATGGCTCGCACCTCTATGCGAGACCACATTTCTAGACGTCGTGCCATTACTGTCGCTCTTTAAGTTTCTGCGTACTGACGCTACTTACTCGTAGAACCGCTGTAGGACAACTAGCGCCATCTGTCAACCGCCCTGGGTGGAAATATTCGCTCCACAATTATTACGTTTCAAATGCTTCTGCTTGAAAACGTTTTTTTGGATCAACATACTATGTGTGTATGTATGTATAAATGTGATAATGTACGAGGGGTTCTGCATAAATTGATTGATTTAAGTGTTAGACTTTAAGGTAAAAATAAGTTAACAAATAATAAAAAAAAAAAAAAAAAAAAAAAAAAAAAAAAAAAAAAATAAGAAATGAGGAACAAACTAATCATGTGAGGCTATGCAAAAATAAAGCTACGATTTTTTGAAGGATGTGTTCTAGAAATCGTACATTTAAGCTGTTCGCACCTGCGCATCTGTAATGTAATCCACGCATGCGCATCTGTAATGTGATGATCTAACGAGTTTGAGAATCGCCATCGACGGTGTAAGAGGGCTGGTCACAGCTATGAGTTAATTGTAATTAATTATGAGAATTAATAAAGAATCGAACCAGCGAATTTATTTAGTGTGTGTTATTTGGGACGAGACCCAAACATATCTGGTCGTAGTCGACCGGAGCGTGAGTAAATAGTGTTTTCGTTTTTTGAGAACACAGGAGTGTTTTGTGTTTGCCAGTATTCCAAGCTTGTTCTTTTCAACGAATATCGCTGATTTTGGATACGGATATTCATCAAAAGTGAATCACTGCAGAGGTAAGTGATTCCTCTCTTGTTAATTCTGTTCTTTCTTTGCTTGTTCTGTTATAAATAACAATGTTATTTAAGGGTGCTAAAAAAGAAGATTTAAGGCTTATTGCCTTAGAAATAAATCTAAATGTTGACGAAAAAATGACTATAGCAGATTTGACTGATATTATTGAGAATAGTGAAATTTTTAAAACTAAACAAGATTTAGTAAAAGAGATAGCAAACTCTATTATTGAAAATAGAAAACAGGAAGAGCAAAAACTTGTCGAGTTAGAAAAATTAAAACTTGAGAGATCAAAGAATGAGTTAGAGTTGGCTAAGCTTAAAGCAGAAACTAAACTTGGATGGTGTAAGCGAAACCGAAACAAAATCAGAGTCACTAGATCAATTAATAAAAAGTATCAGAACCTTAACTGTAAAAATTCCTATACGGCCTGAGAGTTGGGGATTTTTCTTTTCGTCATTAGAACGAGCGTTTATTACAAAAAATGTTTCGGAGGACTATAAAGCAGAAATTCTGTTAAATCTGTTAGGAGACAAAGCTTCGAATATAATAACCTATTTACATGATAAGGATATCGCGAATTATGAAAAAGTAAAAGAAGTAGTTCTGAAGGAGTTTCAGCCAACACCATATTCGTGTTTAGAAAACTTTAGAAAAACTGTTAAACAAACACATGAAACTCATGTGCAGTTTGCTTCTCGCTTAGTAACTACTTGGGATTATTATTTAAAATTAAGGAAGGTAACTGACTTCGAGACCCTCAAACAACTAATAGTTTCAGATAGGTTATACCAATCTTTAGATGCGGGAACAGCTTCTCACATTGCTGTGAGGCAAGGTGATTCATGGTTTTCACCTAGTGAGTTAGGTAAAGAAATAGATTTATATTTCACGTCACGAGGAAAACCTCTTACTGAGAATTCTCATGTTAATCGTAAGTATAATAGCTCAAAAAGTGTAGCTAAAGTGTTTTTATCAGATGTTAAAACAGAGAACTGTATTTTTATGCCACGAGAATCACAGATTGGCAAAATGCCCATCGTATTTAAAATTACCAGTACAAGAAAGAGTACAGGTTGTGAAATCTAATAAATTATGTTTTAACTGTCTACATATGCATTCAGTATCAAATTGCCCATCGAAATATTCTTGTTTTTGTCAAAAACGGCACCACAAAACTATTCACTTTCCGAAAGCAAATAATATCGTAAAGGAGAAAGAATGTTCTTCATCGGAACAAAATAAAAACAAAACAAATGTATCTGACTGCAACATTCCCAAACGAGATGACTCATCGACCTTGAATGTTAATGCGCAGGAGTTCGTTCAAAAGGCATTTATTAGCAATTATTCGAATAAACAGAGTACAGTTCTGCTTTCAACAGTCGTATGTTTTCTAATTGATAACGAGGGAAGGAAACACAGAGTGAAGTGTCTGCTGGACGGGGGCAGTATGTCGAACTTTTTGACACGGAATTTTATTGAGCATTTGCAGTTAGAGAAAGAAAAAACAAACATTTCCGTTTCGGGAATAAATGATGCTACTTTAACAATAAAGCATAAAATTAATGCTTCGATATGCAATAAAGAAGGAACTTTTATAAAGAATTTGGACTTTTTAGTAATTCCAAAAATAACTGCTGATTTAACACCTTCGCGCAAAATTAAAATTTCAGTGCAAGATCTTCCTAATTTAAAATTAGCAGATGAAGGATTTAATGTTCCAGAAAGGGTAGATATGTTTGTTGGGAGCGGGAGTTTTTTATGAACTTTTGAAACCGAGTCAAATTCGAATGAATAATCCTGATCTTATTTTTCAAGATACAGTTTTTGGTTTTTATCGTGTCTGGAAGTATTCCAACAGAGACTGAAAACAGGGTTCATTGTGGGTTGATAAAGGAAGAAGACAACTTAGATAAAACTCTTAGAAAATTTTGGGAATTAGAAAATATTGAAACTGATAAACCCAAAAACAAAGAATTTTTAATTTGTGAGAAACATTTCGTAGAAAATTATACACGAGATAAAACCGGTAGGTACGTTGTTAAAATGCCATTAAAGGAGGATCCGGACACTTTAGGAAGTTCTAAACAAATTGCAACGAGTAAATTAAATTCCTTATGGAAACGCTTAGTAAAGAATCCCGAATATTTAAAATTATATTCAGATTTTTTAAAAGAATATCAACAGTTAGGACATATGGTTGAGGTGAGTGAAAGCGAGGAGGAACGAGGTTCATATTACATTCCTCATATTGGAGTATATAGGGGAGAAGAGAAAAGTAAGTCGACTCCCTTGAGGGTAGTATTTAACGCTTCTTCTTTGACAACCAAAGGAAACTCTCTAAATTCTATACAGTATAATGGAGGTGTGATACAAGATGATTTATTCTCAATTATGCTGAGATTCAGGAAATATATTTTTGCTTTCACTGCTGATATACAAAAGATGTATCGAGCTATTTCTATCCATCCAGATCAATGGAAGTTGCAAAGGATTTTATGGAAAGAAGGCATTGATAAGCCAGTTAAAAACTTTGAGCTAACCACGTTACCTATGGAACTGTGAGTGCACTTTTACCTATGGTACCTATGGAACTGTGAGTGCACCATTTTTAGCAATGAGAACACTTGTACAGCTGTCAAAGGACGAAGGAGATAAATTTCCTTTAGCAGCACCTGTACTGAGAGAAGACATGTACATGGACGATATTCTATCTGGAGCTGAGTCGCTAAGTTCTGCGTTAGAACTTCAAAATCAGTTAATAGGCATTTTGAAGAGTGGAGGTATGTTACTCCATAAGTGGTGTAGTAATGCTACTGAACTGTGTCAAACAAACGACAAAACATATCCCTTTGGTAAATCAGAAGAATCTAAAGCATTAGGTATTTTATGGAAGTCAAAAGGAGATTGTTTGAGCTTCAACGTTAAAATCGAAGACAACGTAAAGGTTACGAAACGGCAAGTGTTATCCGTCATATCTCGCATCTTTGACCCATTGGGTATAATTTCTTTCTCCAGTTATAATTGTAGCAAAAATATTTATGCAGAAATTATGG